ATTATTTGTGATCTTACTAAGTAAGTTTTATTATTATGTAACAAAGTACAAAAATAAAATATTTTGCACATTCTTTATAATTTATTTAAAATAAAACCTCTGTATTATTTAAATAGGTTTATTATAAGAAAGCACAAGGTTGAATAAATTGGAAGCACGACTGTCTGTGATTTATATTGAAAGTGACGATTTAAAAAGTGAATCACTAATGAAACAGGGCAGGATATTAATTATCTACGGTTGCTGAAACAGTCTACTTAAAGGTAAACGCAATTAACTGTACGTTAACTTTCCTAAATAGAAAACTTGTGGGCTACTTTTAACAATTTATGGAAGATAATTATTAGAACCACACGTTACTTATCGTATTTACGAAATATTATATAAACTATATTAAAATTAATTAGCTAATATCTGCGTGGTAAATATATGATGTGTCTCACATACTTTAAAGAGCACCAACCCGAACCCCCCCCCCCCCCCAAATTGTGTTCGCTGTCCCTGCCGCCAATAAACCCAACACCATTACATTACACTGGGAGGGACGCCACCGTCGATAATACGACAGGTGTTTCATCTCTACCGCTAATCTTTACATAGAGCAAGTGGTGGGGAATAGGGAGGTGCTCTTTAAAGGTATCTTGGTAAGAGACGCCATATTATTTGTGACGCGGATATTAACCAGTTAATTTTCACATATTTTATTAATGGAAGTATTTTACAATGCAAAATTACTCACATCATCGGAAATTAAATACAGACAGAAAGTACGTGGACAAATGTTAAGGACGAATTTATTATCTAGAGTCTAGAGGATATTTATTATATATATAGCTAGGGAAGAAAGGCGCTCGAGTGACTGCCACGTACTGGCAAGCGCAGTGTTAGGCGACCCCCCCAATAGTTTGGTGATGACACACTCAGGCAGTCGATGAATGCAGGTGGCTCAGGACCGAACATTGTGGCAATATCCCATAGATATAGATGTCTGTGTTCACAGATATAGATACCTAAAAATATGAGTGCCTGGGTTTTAAAAAGCACTAAATGTTTCCCACGACATAGATTGGGGGGTTTTGTATTAGTAAATTTAATAAAGTATGACTCAGTATTAAGAATATAGTAAAATAATTTATACATATTAATAAATACTTCGTCCGTAACATATGCGAACAGAGAAACATGTTGTAAATAATAAGTAACTTCTGTTTTACTGTTGTCACCTAGAAAATGTTAACCATAGAGTGAAATATCCTTTTTCCTTACAATTGTCATTACATAACTCTTATGTTAACAAACTCATTCCCACATTTCCGATTATGTTCAAAAATGTTTCGTTTACCATTACGATCCGATGTATTATGTACAAAGTGCTTGTAACAGTATTTATTACAAATTATTCGTTCAGTAACTTATAACGAACTAATGAGAACATTGCAGGAAAAGGATACATTTTTATAAATATAGAACTAGTTTCTAGGTTAAAACACAAAAATGAAATTAAACTGGCCGTACAGTTGCTAAGTTTTACAATCGCTTACAAAAATTGAATGTTCTATTTCTCTGTCTATGATCTGGTTCAAATATTGCTGTATTCTTTCTTTATTCTAGAGCTAAATAGACAACATATATCAGGTATTTTCAAGTAAATATTTCTATTGACAGTGAATAAATTCATTACATAGAAGTTCATTCGTTGTTTCGTTCTATTAGTAATCTCTTTAATACTTTTAGATCACGTTGCTACTACAGGTATTTGATATATCGATTTTAAAAATCGATATATCAAATAGTTATAGTAAGTTATGTAAAACTATAGTAAATGATGTGTTTTTAAAATTAACAAATAATTTATTACCATTATTTAAAATTTGTCCTTAACGTGAAGACATTTGTGGAGAAATATTTCAAAGTTTACAGAATCAGTTTTTGTTTAAAGATACGTTTTAAATTTTCATTATAATCTGTTCAAGGTTTACGATAATATATTTGTACTTTATCTCTGCTCGTAGAGCAAGAGGCTAATTTATACATTGAAATCTTATATTCTATGTTATATATAAAAATATTTCGATCGATTTAACTCTTTGAATCAATCATAGATTTCAATCTACCAGAATTCACGAACAAACATTGAACAATTCGCGGTAAAGCGTATTAAAAACAAAGACTTCTATGTATACTACATGACCGACAGTTCTGTACAAAAATTGTGTCACTGCTGTGGATCGTGAGTAAATATGCCACGCAGTTGTATTATCATTTACGACAGTTACTGTTTTTCTGCAAATACATAAAAAAATGTTACAACGTACTTATGTGAAATAAAATTCAAATCACATTAACAAATTGCGCCCACAAGTACACAGCGTTTTCTTAGTTACGTTAAACAAAATCGGTGTTAGATTGTCGAATATAACGTTGGCAGTTTACAAAACAAAGAACTTGCCTTCTCGCCCGCTCGCAGTCGACTAAAGGAGATACGGAGAATTGACCGTAACGAAGTGCGCAATTTATTAAGACCGCAGAGCCCGATCGAGTAGTATATTATATCGAAGTCTTTGGTTATGCCTACGTCTAGACTAATTCCGAACAAAAACAATTTTAACGATATTATAATATTTAAAGAATACTTTTTAAATTCAATTAAAATTAACTCTTTTAGAGATTACTAACGCTTATGACTCTAACATTAGCTTATTATAATATATATTTCAATTTACACAAAAAAAAATTAATTATTAAAACCAACCAATTAGTAAACTAAATATAAGTAAAATTACATCATCACAATAATTTAGAAAGAATTTTAATTCAATATTTTACATTTTTAACTAATTTCACTAGATATGAATATAAATAGCGCGCATAGATGAACGGCACTTTGCCGACGTCATCAATAACTAAAACTTGTCTTTTTTTTAATATGATAACAATATGGTTAAAACAGACCAAAAAGTAAACAGACGTTACTGCAGCCGTCAATTAAAAGCAACGACAGCAGTAATAATAATATTGAGATTTTAAAAGTTCGTCGTTAATACAACAACGCAACTGGTATTCGAAAATTTAAAAAAAAAAACCTTTTTATCAAGGCTTCGTTAACATGGAAATTGCTTATCTTATTCTCTGTAAGACAAAATCTCGTTAACCCATCACGAACGACTTTTTTCTGTTTGACGCAAACTTTGTTGGACTAAAGACCCATACTCCAGCTCTTGTACTTAAATGAGAACAGACAATGTCCGAAATGTCGATGGCAGTAAGTTGTAGGCAAAACGCCACTCGTATGTACGTGCGCTAATTAATTATATATTTACAAAAATTTTATTTTAACAATTTAAAATTTGATGGTAACAATAATGTTTATCATTAAATACTCATTAAAAATTTGACAGTAACAATCTCCGTAAAAGATAGAAGACATTTTTTTCTTACTATATTAGACAAACTTTTTTATTTGAGAACTCTCCTAATAAAAAAAATGGATAGCCATAATGAGAAATGACTGAAGAGAAACATGCGCAGATTACTATAGACTACAAAACTTGTTTGGTTTAGATTATTATCTAAATAAGAATCTACATTTAAATTACTATAAATAAATTTGCGCCTGTGACAGCTTATAATATCTTTCTGATATATTATATATTCCTTTATTCACATTAGATCACAAACTACCTCAAACATCTATAAGCGTTCGCCGTTTACATGATATTTTTGGCATTTTGTGGAAAAGAGTATATTTTCTTTTCCACAAACATACAGAGACACGCACGCACGCACGCACGCACGCATTACTTTACCGCTGTGCGTTAAATAAAAAACGTGTGCTTCAGTTTAAAAATATGTTAACATGATGTATGTCGCTTGTGGTTGTAGTCCAGCGTTATGAATAAATAATTGATAAGTAAAGCAATAGGTGTCGTCATTCACATAAACTTCGCAAACTAGAATAAGCTTACAACTACTTAACGAAAAGCTTTTTTAATGCTTTTCCTTAAGAGTTTAGTAAGCTATTAAACTTTTAAGCAGTTATCCCAAGTCACACAAGAGACCCTGTGTGCTTGACCCCAATTAGTTAAATTAAGTGCAGTAAAATTAAATTCAATTAAATTGAAGCTTAGAATTTCTGTAAATTAAATTTGACCATTGAAAAATTGATCCTATATGATATATAAAAAAAGATTTACAAATTAGTTTTTATAGTAAGCATATCTAAATGGGCGAATAACTTTTGCTTATCCGTAACGATATTGCAATCTTGCAATCGAAGATCAAAACTCAAATCTATAAAAATCATTGCTACAGAATGAGTTGAGTAACATTTGATGGGATCACTTACGCAATTTTTGCAACTTTGCAAAATTGAAAAAAAAAAGTAAAAATTATAAAACTCTTTAACTTATTGTGTTAAAATGATAATCTACTTAATTTATTGCACCGCGATTTCATCGTATCCATTGGCATTGCCCATCACTTCTGTATTAGCAGTGCAGGCACTGTTGTGTTTCGACAGAAATAGCTGTTTTAGGAGATGATTCCTACCAAAATGATTGTTTAAAAAAAGGAGTCGTATGACAAGCGGGGTTAGATAAAATGACAAACCACGATCGTTAACGCAATAGTAAACTATAAAAACGAATGAAATCAATGCTACGGTACATGACTGTCACTATTCATTCATATTATTTTCTATAGCGTCAACGATTGTGGAAAGTTATCTTGGCTGATCCCACAGTTATTATAATAATAAAAGATAAAGGTTAGAAAAACACAGTGAAGTTTCGGAGATTGCCAAGTGACACATTTACACGGCAGTTTACTAGCTGAGTGGCGATTGTAAAATTATCAAATATCACGGAACTCATGCCATAGCAAAAAACTACGAATCAAAGATCAACATACTAGTGCCAGATGAGGGGTAAACTGGCGTCCTACTGTCAGAAGGTGTCCTTGGCGGCGGCGATGAGCGCGAGCAAGTCGTGCTTGTCGTCCGGTCAGGAGGGCGGCGGCGGGGGCGCGGGCGCGGGCGCGGGGGGCTGCGACAGCGGCGCGCCGCCCGCCTGCTGCGACAGCTCTGCCTTCACGCGCCGCGCGATGTGCGACCGAGTGTGCTTGCGCAGGTGATCCTTGCGATAGAACCCTGCACAGTTTTTATGGCAGATTTAACACGTGTCAGCTATATCATCGTTGAAAACGACATTATTTCCAAAAATTACAGCCCATGTTCACCTTTTTTTATAGAATAAAGGTGACAAATGAGCACACAGTCCAGCTGATGGTAAGTGGATTTAAAAATTAAGACCGGCGAACGACCACGCACTTACAGAACAGCGTAAAATAGCAGCTTGATGCTGCTGCGTTTCTTATGGTGGGTGTAGAACCAAAGACCCTTTTGCAGGTACCGAATCATTTCTTCTTAGTAATTTATGGTGACAATAGATCTTCATATAAATGAAAATTTAGACACTTAATCAAGGATATCTATGCCACAGCATCCACTTACCATCAGATAGACAGTGTGCCATTACCCAATAACGTCCCGTGGGTATCGCAAGAGACCACAAAGAGAAAAGAAATAAAAGATGTACAGCAGCAACTTCCTAATATAAATACAAATCAAAATAATAAAAAACTAGGGTTACCAATCCGCTTGCCAAGCATGGCCACTTATCTATGGGAAGTCAGAATGTTCAGTACGAGTAGTAGAATTTTGATAGCCTATAACGAATATATACCTTTGCGTATGGTCAGAGATGACATGTAAAACTGAGACGTAATCCTTCACTGGTGGCCGAAGCTGAAGGTCGCTCAGCGAGCTATGAAGAAGGCTTTATTATTATCTCGGCGAAATCCTCATGGATATCTTCCGCTGCGGGGGCAACGAGAATATTATTCCTAACTCCTACCGGCTACAAACCCTATGATGGTCATCATCAGCGTATATGAAGTATAGAATAGAATAATTTTTATTAAATATTGATTACAAGTAATTCTTATTGAAAGTCATTTTTTTACTTTACCACTGATTCGGAAAAAATCCTCTATCCTGGGTAGAACCAGCAAGAAACCCAGCGGGACATTTTTAAAAATAAATTTTACAATATAAATGATTGCAAACTATTTACAAAATTTATTTTAGAAACAACTTGGAAGCGACCACCTCATTCCCAGGAGTTATTATTGACCATGTATTCATTTATATTATAATAACCTTTTTTTTATACAGTTTTTGTTTAATTAAATATTTGTACCCTGTATATTTTCTAGGACTTTATTGTAATAGCATATACATTGTCCCAAAAATGAATTACTGACTCTGTAGAGTCGAGAGACTACAAAGGGTATATCACTTTTTTTACTAAAACTATCTTTGTTTCTGTGAACATACATTAAATTTTCGTAAATATACTGAGAGCCCAAACTTAATATATATATATAGAATAGAATAGAAGATTTTTTATTCAATATACATTACATGTGTAATTCTTATTGAAAGTCATTTTTTATTTTACCACTGGTTCGAAAAAAACCCTCTGTCCTGGGAAGAACCTACAAGAAACCCAGCGGGACTTTTTTTTTAAAATAAATTTTACAATATAAATGATTACGAACTATTTACAAAATTTATTTTAGAAACTGCTTGGAAGCGATCACCTCATTCCCAGGGGTTATTATCAACCATGTATTCATTTATACTATAATAACCCTTTTTATACAGTTTCAGCTTAATAAAACATTTAAACTTGGTAATAAAGAGAACCTGTACACTTTCCGGGACCTTGTTGTAATAGCGTATACATTGCCCCAAGAATGAATTACTGACTCTGTGGAGTCGAGAAACTGGTATCACTAGCTTGTGTTTGTTCCTAGTGTTTACAGAATGTATATCACTTCTTTTACTAAAACTATCTTTGTTTTTGTGAACATACATTAAATTTTCGTAAATATACTGAGAGGCCAAAGTTAATATATTAATTTCTTTAAATTTATCTCTAAGAGACTCTCTCGGTTTTAGATTGTAAATAGCTCTAATGGCCCTCTTCTGTAAAACAAAAATAGTTTCTGAATCAGCCGCATTTCCCCATAGCAAAATCCCATAAGACATTATGCTATGAAAATAACTAAAATAAACTAATCTAGCTGTCTCGACACTAGTGAGACCTCTAATCTTTTTTACAGCATAGTCTGCAGAACTTAGTCTGCTTGCTAATTTGGATATATGGGGGCCCCACTGGAGCTTTGCGTCAAGAGTGATGCCAAGAAAAACAGTGGTTACAACAGGGTTCAATTCCTCCCCACTAAAAACACATTGGTATTCAGATTTTGAACATTCGTTGTTGTAAATTTAACACAATTAGTTTTATTTCCGTTCAAATGCAGATTATTAACGTTAAACCAATGCACTAATTTTGATATAGCATTATTCACTTCGTCACATTTAAATGATTGACGTTTAAGTTTAAAAATCAAGGAAGTATCATCAGCAAATAATACTATATCATGACTATCCCCTACAAGGTGAGGTAAGTCATTAATATACACCAGAAACAGGAATGGGCCGAGAATCGAGCCCTGAGGTACACCCATTAGTATATATATATATTTATTTTCTCTAAGCGACTCTCTCGGTTTAAAGTTGTAAATAGCTTCTAAATCAGTCGCATTTTCCCATAGCAAAATCCCATAAGCCATTATGCTATGGAAATAACTAAAATAAACTAATCTAGCTGTCTCGACACTAGTGAGGTCTCTAATCTTTTTTACAGCATAAGCTGCAGAGCTTAGTCTGCTCGCTAGTTTGGATATATGGGCGCCCCACTGAAGCTTTGTGTCGAGAGTGATGCCAAGAAAAACAGAGGATTCAACAGGGCTCAGTTCTTCCCCATTTAAAAACACATTGGTATTCAGATTTTTAATATTCGTCGTTGTAAATTTAATACATTTAGTTTTATTGCCGTTTAAATGCAGATTAATAACTTTAAACCAATGCACTAATTTTGATAAAGCATTATTCACTTCGTCACATTTAAATTATAGAAGTTTAAATATCAAAGAAGTATCATCAGTAAATATAACTATATCATGATTATCCCCTACAAGGGAAGGTAAGTCATTAATATACACTAAAAACAGGAATGGGCCAAGAATCGAGCCCTAAGGGACACCCATCTTTACGGACAACTCGGAAGAACTTTTACCATTGATAATAACTTTCTGCCATTGGGTAATCTATGCTTTCTGCATTCTATTACTTAAATATGAAATAATAAGTTTAAGCGTTGCGTTCTTGACACCATAGTACTGTAGCTACCTGATTAATGTCTCATGGTGAACATAGTCGAAGGCCTTGGAAATGTCACAAAACACAGCCAAAGCATCCTCTGAATTCTCCCATGCACAAAAAATATATTTTATAAGTTCGACTCCGTCGTCGGTAGTCGCGCGACCCCCGATTTTTATGAAGCAATCTATTTATATTTAAAAAGAAAAATTTAACATTAGATGTAAAATATTTTTTTCAATAATTTTACTTAATGCACTACCAGATTTAAATAAAGGTATGACTTTACTATGTTTCATTAGATCAGGAAACACCAGATTTGACGCTCTTATTAAAAATTGTGGCTAGATAAGGTGTTATAGTATCTATTATAGATGCAATAATTTTAACGGAAATCTCCCATAAGTCTGCCGTTTTCTTAACATCAATAGTTTTAAAATATTTAACGATATCTTTTGGCAGTACTCTATGAAATTTAAAAGTATTTGAACAAGGCTACGTTTACTACTTACGTTTACGGCTACTTACGTTTTGTTTAAGCAATGATTCGGCGACAGTAGGAGAATTTAATGATTTTGTTGTCAAAAAAGGAAAATCAGTAAAATGTTTCTCAAATGCCATAGCAACTTCTTGATTAAATTGAGTTAAAAAATTGTTAATATTTAATTGAAAATCCGAGTTCCGTGGTTTGACCTTGCCCGTTTCACTATTCATTATACTCCACGTCATTTTAATACTGTCGGATCGTTTTAATTTTGTTGCTTAAATGTAAAGCCTTAGCTGTGGAGCATACTTTTTTTAAATTTTTAGAATATGTTTTTACATATTCTCTAAATATAACACTATGTCTATATGATCTTTCATTATAAAGCTCGTATAACTTTCGTCTACTTTATAAATTCCTACTGTCGCCCATTCATTAAATGATTTGCGACTGTTTATAGAGAAAGTTTTAGAACTAAATATTCTATTAAATTCACAAGTTATTATTATATATTATGAACCATACAAATAAGCAGCACTATTTTTAAATGAAAGTGAGGTAAGTCCTTTTACTATGTTACTTCTAAACCTCTCCAAACGATGTTCATTTATTGGAACAAACACAACTTTCTCATTTTTGTTTTTGTGTATGTAAGACAATGAGACCAACTGTACACAGTGATCTGAACTTAAATTTTGAATGATTGATTTATGCAAGGGCTGTAAAAATGTTATCTATACAGGTCGCACTGTGTCCAGCAACGTATTGTAGACACGTATGTCGGTTATAAGATTAACAAGACTATACGATTTAAATAATGAGCTAAACTTAATACTAATGGAAGAAGTTTCAAGGAGATTGATGTTAAAGTCTCAACATATTACAAAAGACTTGTTGTGTTTACTAAGTTAGAGCCAAACTTCTTTCACAATCTTTTCAAAATATTCGTAAGTAGCACATGGGGGTCTGTAAACACTTACAACAATGAGATGCTCGAGCTCGACACAAGCCATTTCTACAGTTCGCTCAAGCTCAGTTGGCTAAATTAGAATGTAAATAATAAGATAGCACATTTGCTACTAGTCTTAAATTATATTTGGATAGGTAATACCTATATTTTGTCCAAAACTTCTTAATTACATTATTTATGTCAATTGAATGAAATTTGTCATTATTATCATTACAATTATGTCAAATCTAAATTATTATTACATATTAAAATTTTGAAGTTATGTCTTAGATTATTTTCCTGTGGCAAAAACCGACGCCCCGCGATACGTCTGGTAATCCTATCATCAATTCGCCTACTAAGCGTCAGAATCCAATATCGTAAAGTGTATAGACATTTACATTAACGCTATATTTCGAGGTTATCTGTGATGTTTATATGTGTGAAGAAAGTCGGCGTCCAATCATCGTGGCTGCAGCCCTTGAAACACGAGGCAGATCAACATAAGTCCAGGTGAGTGCATTTACATCCTACGCTGTATCATGTAGCCCGAATTTAGGGTATTTGCAGTATCGCGAAATTGTAAATACGGACCGCACCATACAGTCCATTAATTTACGTAAAATTATCCCGTTTAACCCAACACCCGTTTTTGGCCCCTCTCGCTGAATTATAATTAATTAACCAATTTCTGGTCCTTCGAGCCGGATTAGGACCATTTTTGGTCACTTCAAGCCGCGATAATATATTTTTCTATGGGCCCGTAAAATTTAAGTCAACAGTTTAATTTTGCGGGCCGATAGCGAAAGAAAGGAATTGGCGGTGTACTGACCTTTGCCACACTCGTTGCAAATGTGTCGCTTCTCACCCGAGTGTATGACGAAGTGCAACGTGAGCTGTTCCTTGCGCTTGAAGGCCTTGAGGCAGACGGAGCAGACGTGCGGCCGTTCGGGGTTGTGCGACTGCTTGTGCCGTGTTAGGTGGTCCTTGCGCTTCAGCGCCGCGTTACAGATGTCGCAGATAAACCTAACCACAACCCAAGTTCACATTCTAAGAACATTTACGATACTTGAAAACTGTAAAAATAAGCTTTTATACGTGATAGAGCCACACTGCAGCTATATTATGGTCGTAGCATGAATGGATATGCTCGACCAGGAAGCACCACGATCAAGCATAATACCAGCATAAAATGGCAGCTGAATGCTGCTGTGTTTCGTATGGTGAGTGTAGAGAACCGCCCTTTTTACTGGAAACGAGGCATTCAATCTTAGTCCTCAATAACAATGCATCTGCATTTTGATTCTTCATCGAAGACAAACGTAGATATGGATTATAGCATCCACTTACCATCAGGTAGACTGTGGGCTCGTTTGTCACCCTCATTCTATTTAAAAAAAAACCTTAAAAAATTAGAAACCGACTGCAGAAACTTAAACGATTGAAATAATTTGCACTTATTAGTCCCTGAAGTCGGTGCTAAGAGATTCTGAGATCGAAGACTCAAAGCGCCGACTTCGGAAGCTAGTGAGCAAATTATTTCATTTAAGTTTTTAAATTTCTTATCCTTTTGTATGAACTAAGAAATATCACAAGTTCAAGGTAGCAGCAACAATATCGTCTCTTTACATTAGAAATATCTATTTTTTCCACCCTTCAATGTGATTTTTTGACTTAAAATTTATAAAAAATCATTCCTGAAGTATTATTATATCTAAACTATTTAATAAAAAAAATCGTTTCTTGAACAAAGAAGTTATGCCCGAACATACTTAAAAAAATATATACATACAGACGAATTGGGAATTCTCCTCCTACTTTAAAAGTTGAAAAATTAAAAACAAAAGAACATGTAAGTCAAGTCATGTCACACGTCACGAATGTCATTTATTACTATAGCATAACTACATACATACGAGATACGAGTATATACTAAAATTAATATAGTCATGTAGTGGCGGCGCGGCGCGGCGTAAGTACTACCCCATACCATACCGTAGGTGTCGTGAGATGCGACATACATAATTATATGAAACAGTGGATGTGCAGCAACATCTTCCTGTTAACAACTCAAAAAAATAACACTGCGGTTGCCAACCGTGGCGACTATAACTAATATTCTCTCCTAATGCCTAAGGGGCAATATATTGGTAAAGTCAAAAGCCAGATGATTTTTGATAATAATAGATGAAAGAATATAGAATATACTGTTAACGAATGTGAAAAATAAACTTGCACGTACCTCCGTTCCATAGTGTGTCCAACTAGGTGTTGCTCAAGCAATCCCCTCTCTGGATAAGCCATGTGACACTCGGGACAACAATACAAGGTGCTGCCATCTGCAATGTTATGTTGCTATCATCATTATTTCACCCGTCAACATACCCATCCAATCAAACTCAACCAAATGTGAAACATTTAAATTACAGAGTTAAGAAGTTAAAGTTATAAGCAATCATAAGTCCCACTGCTGGGCACAGGCCCCTCTCATTACTAAGAGGGTCTTAGGTCAGAGAAGTGTCGAGGCAATGTGTATTAGCGGATTTCGCATGTCTTTGAAATAGATATTTTTTTTTATTTCTCAGACATACAGTAGTAAATCAGCGCTTAAAATTACAATTAACACCACAGATTTAGCCTGCTCTAAATCTGTGGCCTTACTGGCCCTGTTACTGTTAACCCTGATTACCACCAGTGTTATAAAATTGCACAACTAGTTAGACTGTAATCATATATTCAAGACCTCTTCCGAGACACGAGTAGCAACTACTACAACTTAACTGAAGATATAACTTTACCTAACGTATAAGGGCATAAAAGAATCCACTATCCCATATCATCCCGTGAATTTCGTAAGAAGAGACTCAGGGAAAAGAAACAGGAGATGCGCAGCAGTATTTTTCTGATAACAACTTAGTCAAAAACTGCGGTTGCCTAGCGTGATAACTATTGCAAATATAAAACAATCTTTGCAGGAGGCCTATGTTCATCAGTGGACTTTTGTTAGGCTGTATAAATGAATGAAGGATAATATACCTAACGCAGTCGTCAGCCGGATCTCTCCTGGCTTCGGTCTAGGCTTCTTCTCTTTCATCGATTTCTTCTTCTTTTTCTTCTTTGATATGGTGATAGTCGTTGTATTCGCGTTCTGGTTTACAATCGCGGCAGTTTGTACCACCACGCTGTTAACTGCATTTGTGGGCATCTGCAAGATAAGTTTTTTAAAACTTTATAAAGATTTTCTCATTTTTCATATAGAAGAATAAGGGTGGCATACGAACACACAGTCGACCTGATGGTAAGTTGATGCTGTGGCTCATCGACATCTACATCTAACCTTAATTAAGAATCAAAATACAGATGTGTTGTCACCCTTGAGGACTAAGATGAAATGCGGCGTTTCCAGTAAAAAGGGTCCTCTCCGTCTCTCATGTATCGTGAATGCGGATTACATAATATATACATAAATTGCACACACCGCGCGCGCTCATTGGTTAAATCAAATAACGAAATCATTCCCACTTCAACAGATTGCAGGAAAGCGAGAGGAAAGATGTTACACATAAAAAAAGCTGTGCTACCGAGCCGTCCATAAATTTTAATTTTCATATATAATTGTTATCGGTTGGTGAGGTGTCAGAGGTGATTACCAGAGACACCATAGAACAAGGGGGAACCGCCATTAAACCGACGGTTCTACGGACAGTACCGTCCAGCGTAGGTGGCCCCACCAAGGGGATAACTACCGCGCTGAACATTGCCAAAACCAGTTCCAAACCTGAGGAGCTGGACGAAAACAAGGAACAAGAGCCCGCGAGTAACAAAACTCCTGCGTAGCCAAAGAGACGGACGACCTTTTCTCTGCTGTCTGGCAAGTGGTGAGCCGTAAGGGGAAAGGCAACCCAAAAAGGTGACTGGCCGACCTGACGGACCATCAGGAGGGTCTATCCCTGCAGGCAGTAGTGGAAAGGCAAAAAAGAAGAACAAGAAGCAGCGGGAAAAAGGCCGAAGAGAACGAGCCGCACTGGCTGCTTCTAAAACTAAAACCAAGGAGGCTGGGCAAGCTACTGCGACTGGGGTGCTTGGGGCTGGAACCAGTAGCCGCGCTGAAGCTGGGAAGGATAAAAATCCAGCCCAAGTGGAAGTCGCGGCCGCGGGAACCAGCTCTAAGATATCCGCCAGGAAGCAGCGAGCGGCCAAGCGTCCTGGGAAGAAGGAAACAGCAGCCAAAAGGATGCTGGAAGAGTCCACCTCGCCTAGAGGTGAACACAAAAAAGTGCGACTCGAACAGCAACCAAAGGCTGCAAGAACAAGCTACGCTTCCGCTGCAGATTTGGGTGTGGCCTTAACGTGTGCGCGTTCAGGTCATATTACGAAGGAAGTAGCAGACGACATCCTCGTGGCAATACAGAGGAAGATGATCAGTGAGGCCTGGAGTAGCCAAGACTATAAAGAAGCTACAGCGCTACCAGAGACTGGCATGTATGGCTGCCACAGGCTGCATAAGAACTACACTAACAGCAGCCTTAGAAGCGATGCTGGAGCTAACCCCGCTTCATCTACATATACAACAAGAAGCGACTTTAGCTGCCATCAGACTCAAGACCCTAAATCTTTGGAGTAAGAATAGTATCCCTCATACAGGCATAATTAATAGAATTCACTCAAAAATTCCTATCTTACAACCCAAGTACGATAAGATCAATTCTTATTTACAATATACAATTATTATTCAAGCGGCCATCGCAATAGATGCTAGGAAGGTTAATAACTTCCCCATCAGAATACTGACCGACATTAGGGCAGTACTACAAGCTCTGAGTTGCAATGTGGTGAACTCAGGACTAATATATGAATGCCATCAACGATTAAATGAGGTATATAAAAACAACAATGTGTCTCTGCAATGGATAAAGGGACACAGTGGATCCAGAGGCAACAATGCAGCAGACGAACTGGCCAGAAGAGGCTCCGACTCTGGCCACTATAGGGCCGGAACCAATCATAACAATCCCCTTTGGTAACGTTCGTTCACTGGTACGTAGACAGTTCACTAATCAACACGCTCAGCTTTGGAAAAATCTAGTAGACTGCAGACAAGCTAGGGAGACCTTCACTGAAATAAGCAGTCGCTTAACCAAAGTTTTAATGAGACTGAACAGCCGCAGATCAGGATAGTAACAAGTGCTATCACAGGACACGGCACCTTTAACAAACATTTATTTACTATAGGTGTTACAGATAGTCCCCTGTGCAGGGCATATATGGGGGAGGAAGAAACGGCGGCCCATGTGCTACTGTAATGTCCGAAGGTCGCTACGTACAGGGCTAAACATCTTGTCACGCTGGGATCACTCCCCGAAGTTGCATGCAACATCAAAGGACTGTTGAGCTTCTTCGGGGAGATCTCATGGCTCGAATAATTACATTATTCCTGCCCACACGGAAAATACGCGTATAGACGTGGAGTTGCGGAAAACAGCCCGTCTTAAACTAACTTTTATCGGTTTGTCAGTACAATATACATAAGCACTCTATGGTATATCGATGGTGAATGTAATGAATAAGATTCGCTATAAATAGTTACAATTATGTAAAGATTGGATAAGCTAAGAATTAATGGTTTGGAAGAGTCCTATATCTATTATCCATCAGTTGACTGTCGGCGGCTGATAATCAATGATCTATTACATCAGCGTGTTTTCCGAAACATGTCGCTGTGATCGAAAAGTCAAATCATCCTTACTTACCGAAGTCAAAGAAGATATTGAAGGCAGGGTATTCGCTGCGACTGCTGTCACAATGGTTGGTTGTTCTTCTCTCTTCGTTTCTGTAATTGAGGTCGCCGGTGCTGAATACTTCAGCAGATGATGCAGAGGGAGTGGTAGAGCCGAGAGGTAGTCCGCTACGCCTCCGCCGAGAGTTTGCCAAGTGGAAGTGTCAGTCACGTCGCCTATACCTGTTGTATAAAAGCCATTTTATAAATTACCATAATAATGTAATGTAAACCACCGAAGCATTCCTTTCATCAGGAGTTTTGGGAGGTGGTGTTATAAGATAACTCACTGATGTACTCGGCGGGCGCGGCGGTGGGGCGGTCGGTGCGCGCCTCCTGCTTGATGGCCCGCGCGAGCGCCGCCGCCTCCTTGGGCTCGTGCAGCACCACCACCAGCTGCTGCGCGCCCCCACCACCCACCCCCCCTGCATCACACCACGTCGTGTCAGTATTGCCTCTATACACGACACCTCAGACGATGACGGAATATAATGGAATAGAATAAATAGACCGTGTTCTGCAAAGGATCCAACCCACAAATTGGTTAAAATAATGATTTAGAGTTCTAGAGGCTCTTCTTTAGTTTATTGTGAAATATGATAGACTTCAGAAAAATAACAGGTAATTCCAGAATTATCAATTATTATGTATTATAACATAATATTATAATGGGGCTTTTGCCACAAGAAAAATGCATTTATCTTTTAAATCTGAATAACTTTATGTTTTCGTGGGTTGAAACTTTTTTGACCAATCCAATTTTTAATTAATACAAATATAAAGACAGCATAGGTACAATTATACTAAGTAATTCTTTGAAAGTCATTTCATTACTTTTACCACCGGTTCGGTAAAAATCTGTCTTGGGAAAAACCACCAAGAAACCCAGCGGGACTTTTTTCCCTCAGTAGGTATATAAGACAGATAGTTCTCTTTATTGTTCACCAAACCAAAAAAAATAATATTAGTTACAATATTATATCTAAAGTATTATCCCCAAAAGTGATATCTGTCCGAAAACCTTTGAAAGGACAAGATCGCAAAACGCAGAAGTGTGTGGTTAGAATAATTTAAAATTAAACATTTTGTACAGCCGACTTCAATATAAATTATTCAGAATAACTCAAAAACTGTTGGCCTGACCTTGATAAATATGAACCACATGTGAAGTACCAGCTATCAAATAAAAAAAGAATCATCGAAATTGGTTCACCCAGTAAAAAGTTACGAGGTAACACGCATAAAAAAAACACAGTCGAGTTGAGTACCGTCTCCTTTGAAAACATGAAAATACGAACATAATAAGCTATACATAAAATAAAAATATAACGTTGTATTACGAGTACAAACTTTTTATATACTAAAAAAAAGTATTTTTTTTTAGTATATAAAAAGTTTATATCAATATCAAAGATTAAGAAATATATATCCTTGGACTTGTAGCCAAGGTTTTAACCATGTGGTTTTAACTGCAAACCTTTACCCAATGTGTCGTGGCGGCTTGAGAAGATACACTAAACTATCGTAAGAGGCGACACAGGGAAATGTAACAGGAGCATTTTCCTGGTATCAACTCTAATCTATACAAATAAATACAATTGAAGTGTCTGTTTGTAATGTCGAAATTACAGCTTTTTACTAAAAAAAAAGTATATACGGTACTAATAACAAAAATACAATGTATAAAGTTTTTGTCTGTCTGTATGTCTGTTTGTCTGTCCATCTGTCTGTCTGTTTGTTCCACCTAATCTCCGAAACGGCTGGACCAATTTTGACGGGATTTTCACTGGCAGATAGCTGATATCACAAGGAGTAACTTAGGCTACTTTTATTTTAGAAAAAGAATTAGGGTTCCGCGAAAAAAAAATTAAAACCCCAAATAACACGCGGGCGAAGTCACGGGGAACAGCTAGTTAAATAATAAAAAAGCGGGTAAGCAATACCCGCTTGCGCTTGCTTGCTAAACGTGGCAACCATAACAAATAACCCCTATGATACAATCCGTGGCCAATATTCATTCTACACCTATACCTATATGGACTTTTGACAGACTGAATAAATGAACACTCACCTTGTTGTTGCATCATAGTAGCCATCAGATCATGATGCAACTCCTCCCTGTATTCCCGCTTGTCGGTCCTTTGCTCGGCCTTTAGCTGGTGCACGGTCTCTGCCTGCACATAGCTTGCCTGACCTCCATACGCGATGTTGCCCAAATTGACCGACGACGAGGATGCAGAAATCGTCTGATACTTCACTCCCGTGTTCACTGTTCATCAAAGGTATAAAAGAAATAATCACGTGGAAGGATAAAAGGAGGGAAATTAAGTAATATACATCTCAGATTAAATCAATTTGTTGAAAACTAACATTTGCCCGCGGCTTTGTCTGTGGAGAAAAAAAACACTCCTATTTAATTTTAGTGAATTTCAAAAAGAAGAAGAGGCTCACAGTTCGTTTTATGTTTTATGTTCCGGGATATCTTCGTCATCTGTGAATCTACTTTGATGATTATCTATAATATAAAAATGAATCGCTGAATGTGTTGCTAAGCGCAAATCTCGAGAGCAGCTGAACCAATTTCGCTAATTCTTTTATATAATATTCCTTGAAGTACGAAGATGGTTCTTACGGAGAGAAAAATTTAAAAAATTGCCTGAAAATGTCTAAAAACAACACTTTTCTATATTCCCATACAAAAGATAATAATACTTAAAAGTCAATTTAGTGTTTAATACCATACCATAAAGTTTAAGTGTAAGTGGAGGGGTTCCGGGAAGGCAAAACAATTGAGTGACGTTAGTATCGTATAAATATTAATGTCAATATTTGTAAGATGGTAACATTCCTCAAAAACAAAATTAGGGTTCCGCGCAAAAAAATTTATATCCATGAAATCGTAGTAAATTCTACGCGGGCGAAGTCGCTGGGCACAGCTAGTTTTTTAGTTTAGTTTTTAGTTCTCTAGTTTTCTCTCATGAAAAAGTGGGAGAAAAAAAATTACACCCCTAAGGGTTGTAAATTGGGGATGAAGATTATAATGTAACTATTTAGACGATATTAAGATTGTGATATGTCTTAGTCCACTCAAAAAGGTAGAAAACTAATAAAAGTCCACTTCAGAGAAATAAAAAGACTAAAGTTTATCACATTCTAAGTCGAGGCTTGAATTCTTCTACACTATAATATCTTAGCACCGGCTTGAATGTGAAATTATTTGATTCGTTTTAGTTATTAGAACTTGGCTTTTACTTTCTATTAAGTTTTTTTTGTTGTAAAATAGTATTATAATGGTTATTGCAGATACGGTCTATCTATATGTAAAATTTCAACCGAATAGACTTAGCCTTTTATGCGTAAAAACATCCAAACATATTAACAAGTTCACATTAAGTGAGTAAAATAAAGATACGCCTATACACCACTGCTGAACACAGCAGGCCTCCTCTCATTTCTGAGGCTTTTAATGCTGAAAGGGTTTTAATGTCTGCCGCGCTGCCCGCTGCCCCAATGCGTGTTGGCGAACTTCACATGTCTTCGAAAGTATTTTTTTAATCTCTCAGAAATGCAGATTTACCTCACGATGTTTTCATTTACGGGTAGCGCGAACCTTCCTTGCACTAAACCTCCGAACGAAAAACGAAAAGAGGTCTGTGCCCAGTAGTGGGACGTATACAGGCTGTAACTTTATATCATTTTAATTTATGGTACCTATTTTGACATGTTAGGAGTGACAAATGACAGCAGGCGTTAATGGTGTTATTGATTCTTTAAAAAAGGCGGTCAAGTGCAAAAGACTTGCGCCCTGAATACACGTAGCATGATTAATGTGCTCTTTGGCCTGTACGTGTACGCTGCACGTGCGAAGGAAGTATTCCAGTACACAAAAGGTAGATGTGATACAATTAGTATACAATATTTGGAGGGTTTTGTTGAGTACGCGTCTATCATGAATAAAACATTTAATAAGTGGTTTATCTAAAAGCCATATCTTATCCTTCCTTACGACCACCGATGACAGTTTATTTAACGCGAGAGTCTGTAACATTCCGAATAGGATCCATTATTATTGTATAAAGAGCCGTGGTAGCTCACATGGTTAGCGCTCGCTGTTCCCGAGTTCGATCCCGGCACCAATGAAATTGTTAATTGCAATTTTAAGCGCTGTTTAACCAACAGTGCGGTGAAGAAAAAATCTGCATGTCTAAGAAATAAGAAAAAAAAATATTTCGAAGACATGTGAAGTTCGCCAACAAGTATTGGGGCAGCGCGACAGACGCTTCCTTGCCCTAAACATTCTCAGAAATGAGAGGAGGCCTGTGGGGCGTATATTGACTATAACTTTAACTTTTAATTTTACACATTATTGAATGAGAAGGATAAAAACCTGAGTGGTACCTACCCAGTCTAAGTAGAAAAGAAGCCCTACCACCGATTTTAAAATACCCTACAAGAGTAAAATTCTAAATCTTAAAATAAGTAAATCGTAAACTTAAAACTTAAAAGTCTGCCTGTTTGTCACAAGCAATTTTCTGTAAAATTATTTGACATAGTAATTTGATATAACAGATAAAATCTTAATGGACAATCGACTAGGATATGTTCAGTTTTTTATAGATAAAGGTGTCCAGTTTATGGTAAGTGGACCAATCAAAATGCAGGTGCATTGTCACCCCCTGAGTACTAAGATGGAATGCCTCATTTCCAGCAAAATGGGTCCCCGGTTCTCTACACATAGAAAACACAACAGCATTAAACTGCTATTTTACGCTGGTAATCTGTGAGAGCGTGGGCCTGGTCGATCCCACCCATTCGTGTCGTGTATAGTTTGCTCACTTAGATCCCCTATATATAATATCAATGCTTAGACTCAGACCAATAAAGGAGTGTTTAGATCATAATATTATGATCTAAGTTTGCTCATCACAAGCGGCTGAAACTCGAACAGCAAAACAATTTTCATAATATTTCTATAAAAGTTGGATTTTGTATTATTTTTCTTTCGTTACCGTCGTCCAATATCAGTAAGTTTTTAAATGTCTATAATATACTGTCTATGGAACCATAATATGTTGCGCATGGTCCAAACCGCTTTAAATTACTTTAATTTTAGTTCATACCAGTACATGACTGAAAAGTTAATTGATTTTTTGTTGTATACAGTAGAGTTAGTCTCGGGACATTTATCACGCAAAAAATATTTCAAAATATAATATGCACTTAATCAAAATCAACAGGTACCCACTGTAAGAAAACTCAACTTTTCAAATTTATTAAAAATTAAACTTATATTGTTCAAATGTGAGAAGACCTTCATATTCACGGACGTACCCCCTGGAAAGAAAGTGATCGCTACCAAGCTATTTCTAATTTGTGTAGTTAGTTAATTTGTTTTGTGTAGTTACCTAATTGTGTCATGTCATGATGTATAAGTCTAATATATGATTGTAAACAGTTCTTTTAAAATTCATTCAAAAAGAATGTCCCACTGGGTTTCTTGCTGGTTCTTCGCAGGACAGGTATTATTTATGATCTCTATTGAAAAAAAAAAGCTTTTTTTCCATTACTCCTACAATAACACATGAGACACATAAAGATTGAAGTTACCAGTATGAAGGGGCGCAAGTCCAGCTAGAGCGACTGCTCCTGGTTGTGCAGAGCTGACGACCACGACGCTCTCAGCCTGTCGGAACTTGACGCCGTCCACTACACCAGCGGTCGGGGCCACCGCGAACTGAACGCCGCCCGCGCCGCTCGCGGAGTAGCGCGTGTCCTGCACCACGCCACCGCCTCCGTTTCCTTCGTACCCGAACTTCGCCGCGAACTGGTGGATGGTCGGGATCCCCGCCGCCGACGGTATGTGACCCGTGAACTGGGCGAAGTTCATATTTCAACGTATCTGAAAGCGCGACAGACATCCCGGTGTCAAGGTTAAAACCACTCGTTTATGCTGAAAACACGCACCATAACAAAGGGTGCGGCCCCTAGTAGGGCGCTCACTCAACCCCCGCCATTCTGCCTCACCCCAATCGCCGCCGACATTTCTAGCGCTCTATTTTTACCGACCCACGCTCCCACACCATCGTTCCTTCGGACGGCACTGGGTCGTCGAGGGACGGACTTGAGGAGTTACATCAAGGTGTTTTTGAATAGTTACCTCTTTCCTGGCGATCTGAACTGTTTTCATAACGTTTTAATTGTTCCCCTTCGACGAAATAAGCGAAGTCAGGGACGGCGATGTGCGCGGACATGATGCGCGGAGGGTCAGCACGCCTGCGCTCTCGGCAGCAGCTTCAGGGTGTGAGAGGAGCGCGGAGTGGGCACGGGGGCAGAGCCGCGAGTACACGTGCTCGACGGGGAACTTGTTGAAATCCTTGCGAGCACGGTTTAATTTATAGCTTCTTTTTATTAAGTTTATTTAACATTTAAATGAATAATTGGGTAATAAAACTTATTTAATAAAATAAAGTTAAACAACCTTTTGAATTCACTGCTGGACTGCCCATTAAATAATGACGCATTTTCGAAGATATTTCACACGTAGTAGTAGATCTCATATCATGGTCATTTAACTTGCACGCTTCACTTTCTATACCTACATTTTACACTTTTGTTAACATTTGGCGAAGGTATCAGAACCGCCATAAAGAAAAAAATATTGAAAATATTTTTTTAATTTGTTTATATAAATTTAGTCTCATACACCCTATGTGGGGTGTATGAGACCGATCCACACCAAAACATAACCACCAAAAGTACCGAAAGGTAGCATTATATAATACATAAATAACGAATATATAAACACGATTTTAAATTGGCTGATACAACGGTACGTGATAGCTGACACAAAATAAAAATAATTAATTTTAGATTATATTCTTACATAAATTACATATAAATAGACACCCAGACAAGTAACAATTATTTATAGGATTTGTTTGATTGATACTTGTTCCGTGCAGGAATCGAACCCACAGCCACAGCTAGGGTTGCCATCGCCACTATGTTAAAGATCCGAACATCATAATCTTATATGTGGGCAAAACTATGGCTGTTGTAAAGGCTTATAGAAGGAAATGTATGTCCATATAAAAATAAAATATTAATTTGAGATATAACCTTATATGTTTTTATATTTCAGGTATTCAGATTTCAGATAACAATTATTATTAAAAATTATAACGCTCCGATTTTGAGCTCTAGGTAGGAAAAAGCCATAATGTTTGGCCGCGTATCTCTTGTAATTTTCTACTGTTAAACCCTGAAGGTTTATAGATGTTTGAATTTCGAATGTTATATTTTTTAAAACATAAGTATGTACCTAACTCCTACTTGATTAAAATTTTTGGTGGGAAGTCGCGTGCCCATTGTTTTTTTATCACAAATTAAAGTCATCCGTAGAAAAGATTTTAGGGTGACTATTTTTTACGATTTAATAAATTCACTCCTGTAAGATGTCTTTAAAATGCTTTTGGGAGGGAAACAAGTCATTTGAGCACTGTAAGGCGTTGGTACGCAGAATTTGATCGTGGGCTTGTTTCTCTACATGATGAAATTGATAAAGGTCGACCCTCAACGGCGACTATTGAGCAAAATGTGGCCACTGTCAGGTGACTTATTGAAGAAAACTGGCGCATCACCTATGAAGAGATTCGAGGACATTTGAGTATTGGTATGAGCCAAATTTAAATCAACATTTTATTTTATTTAAAAGTTAGAAAACTTTATTCAAATGCTGCGTATGACATTGTGACAGGAGATGAAACATGCATGTAACATTCCGAAAAGAAAGCAAAAATCTGTATAGTTGTTCGAAGGCGACATCAAATCAACATAATTGAGGCAGGCAAGAGGTGTGGTGTGAGCAAAAAAATATTGCGTTTTTTTCTCCCAGACGAGTCCTGTCTGCGTGATGTCACTTGATGAGCAAAAGACAGTTAATGCTGAGTGAAAGCATCAGCGCTTGTCGCTACTTTCTGTCACTGAATTTGGTTATAATTCTGAATGAGCTTGCAGTGTGACGATAGAGGTAAATTCCTGCTATGCGATAAGCCGCTGTGTACCTTGTAGCGTAAAGTGGTTGCGTAAAAGAATCCGCTGTATCATCCCGTAGGTGTCGTAAGAGGCAAGAAACTGAAATAAGACAAGGGTGGGAGCAGTTTTTTCTTGATAACAACTCAAAATAAAAATAGAACTGCGGTTACCATCCCGCCTGCCAAGTGTAACAACTATGGCCTATGTGTAGTAATGATCATGACGATGGCAGAAGCCAATGCCCAGTAAAGGACTGTTTACGGACTAATGCGGAAGAATATTAGTTCCGATCGCGATATGACCCGAACCACGAGTTGATTCATTACGCAGGCGATTCATAAGCGGTTAAAAGTAAATATCAATCAAATATATTAGAACCATAGTAGCTCAAGTGTTAAACGTTCGCCGTAAAGTTCACAGTACGCGAGCAACCAGGGTTCCCATCACCGGCGGCATCAATGAAATTGTTAGTTGCAATTTTAAGAGCTCATTCACCACGTGTTCAGCGGTGCAGGCAAAAGTGTAAAAATTCGCATAACCGAGGAATGGAATATATTATGTAGACAATGGCATTGAACAACATTAAGCTGCCGGTCGAGCCGACCCATTCGTGCCACAAATATAATATAGCTGCAGCATGGTTCTACCACGTAATGAGGAGGCCTGTGCCCAGTAGTGGGACGTAGTAATCGGTTATTATCATTGAACACAGCACGTGGGTCCAACGTCCAATTGACATAACTCATTAACTCTCACAGAAAGGGTGCAAATGTAATTTCATAGCAACTTCGCCGTATAGAGCATTAAATATACACACACAGAGAGGGCAAAAATAAAGACAGTTTATAAAAATCAGTGGTTTTATTTTTTAATCTCATTAATAAATAAGTTTCATACAAAAATGTTTACACTTATAACCTTCAAATGAAAGTTTAATCACCTAACTGTATACCTTAACTTATAATACTTTAACTACTAATTTCAATAATCTTATAAAAAATTAGAAAAAGTAAGAATCTACATCGGAGAGAACTGCTAATTAAAAAATAATTTCAGTTACACGATTGAAATACTTAGGAAAACTTTATAAGGTTATCTACATCGTAGTTCTTCAAATTCAAAATTACGTATACGGAGACAATTAACTTAACATAACATGTGATGAACTGATTATTAAATTCTATGTTACATGATAGAATGTACAACTTAGTCTACTCTCATGTCAAAAAATATGGAATCCACCATACTGAACATCACAAGCACCTTTTATTATTTATTTGAATACATCAGGACTTCTTAACACTACGGGTTGGAAAACTGCAAGTAAAACGTCACAAAATTTTACGCACACAATATTAGCAGACTTATTACAAAAATAAATACATTAAGAAGCCCCGACAAAGAGATTTAAAAACAAAACGATGCCTAAACCTTAATCTAAGTACAAAAATATAATTCGAAATCAATTTATAACTACATTAAAGCTGATAGGGTTAATATCGTGTGGTAGAGAACAGGATTAAAAAGGCATTTTTATTCTGTAGTTATTGCAGCAGGAGTGATATGATGCCTGTTTAATTCATAGTCGCAATGTTCGACAGCAACTGCTATAGTTTTTTCTACCAAATATGAAAACACACCATAGGTAACACCATTTACAAAATTTAAAAATTCACCGTAAATAGCAAATTTTACTATTACCTATATAAAATGAAATATTCCTGAAACATGATCATATCACACCTGTGAGTCACTAAATATGTTATTAATAACTAAAACTAAATATTAACAGATGGCTTATAATTACTAAGGATCGATTTTTCAATCTTAAAAACAAATCAAAAATTACAGTTGTATGAACAAAAAAGTTCATTAGTTTAACATTTATATTCAGTCAGGTTATAATTTATTAGAAGGATAACATTTCTCCGACGATTGAAAAATCGAACCTAAACAATGTACTGAATACAAATCGGCAAATATCCTAAAACCATGAATAACAAAGAGAACAACATGAAATGGTATAAATATCACAGTACCGATGATATTTACAGTGTCACATAGGTTTTATTGCATTATAAGCTTTTTGCAAAATCTAGCTTCGATCGGCTTTCCTTGGCTGCTTTTATACAATGTTGAAAAACAAAACCTTACGTTTAATTAGTCCCAGGTTCTCGACCAAACTTATGAACATGATACCGAAAATATAAATATATTAATATGTCGCAGTCAATTATTTAATCAACCACTTCATTAAGCGGGCCATACATGTTTAGCATTCAGCTAAACATCTAGCCTTTTTAGTCGAATCACAACGACGTGTACTTTGGCTGACGGAAAGTCAGCTCTTCTAAAATGGTTGAATCAGGAGGCATCAAGACGTTTGAATTCTTTTCTATACCAGTGTGGCTCTTACAGGCCTTTCTCATAATGGATAATATGGGTGTGAATGCATGTGAATAAACCAATGACTCTTAAATTTTACACATAATTTTGAACTGATACTTTCCACCAAATTAATGATTACCCTCGTAAACCGAGATAATTTGATTTCACATTAAACATTGACATTGTCCGAATTGGCAAAGCAGACTTTATGCATTCAATGAGAACATCCACAAATTTTCTGCCACCGGGAATGACTGGAATGAGGTCAAATATTTAACACAAGCAATGGTCATGGAAGTTATATTGTTTATTTATATAAAAGTGTAAACACTAATGTTTCCTTCTGAAATATTTTTTTATATTTTATTTTAATTAGATTAGAAATAGATAAACCAAACTACGGATAATCCTAAATCTAGAAGAATGAAAAATGTTTAAAATATGTGCAAAAATCAAAGAACACAC